GAATTCAATAAAATTTAGTTCAAAACCTCCTCTCTGCACATAGTAGGCTGCTGCTACGCTCGCTCGCTTCAGGCTCGCTCCGCAGCAATTAGTGGCGCGCACTTACGCGCAAAACTGTTGTCTTAAGCCGGTTTTCCATTAGGCAGAATTTTGCGCACGGAGCGGAATTTTTCTTTGTCTTTTCTAATTAGTTCCACCCGAGAAATCACAAGACAAACTGACAAAGAAAAAAATTCCGCTCCGCGCGCAAAATTCCGCCTAGTGGAAAACAAGCTTTATAGACTATGTGCACACGGTAACGTTTTTGAGCGTTTTCAGCTGTAACATTTTCAAAAAGTGGCGTTTTCAAGCCGTGTCCACACGAAAACGACAGAAACAGATGAAAACGACAAAAACGTTTTCAATGATAAAAACGTTTTCAGACAAGCGTTTTCGCGTTGAAACGCTAAAAATCCAAGATGGCGGCTTAAAATCAAAATATTCCAATCTCCTACTGGCATGAATTCCTTGATCTGCTATTTTTCTTCAAAATTGTTCACAATATTACCACCATGAACTCTGAAGTCAAGCCAACTCAACATATTCCCACAAGATCAACCCGAAATACTTCCGATCCTAGTCTACTCTACTTTCATCCTAAAAGATGTAAAACCATAACTTTTCAACGATCATTCTTCTCACGCACGTGCAGAGTTTGGAACGACCTACCTGACGAAATGCGCCGCATGGATACATCTTTATTACGCTTTAGAAGCTTGCTTAAAGAATATTATTTGACGGAATCTCAAACAATTTTCGATTCGGATGATCCAAGGACATGGAAATCTGTGTGTCTGAAATGCAATGCAGCACGCACACTTAGGATCTCCACGTCATGCTGTAGTTAGTGCATGTATGGAACAATCTCTTTCCGATCATTCGTAACAGTTCGTCTGTTCCCGATCCTTTAAGCTCCAGCTCCATTCTCACTACTCTTCTCAATTAGACTCTTCTTTCGATATTAACAGAATGCGCACTTGGAAAACCTTCTGCTCTAAATGCCGTTCTTTCAACTTAAGCTGTTGCTCATAATCTAAACTATTAATTTTTATATAGCTATGTAAATAGTGTTCTATAGTCCTTGTCTTTAATGTATGTCTATACCTATTGTATTATATTGTATCAGGTTGGTCTTCACATGGGACTCATGTCCTGTTGACCATACCTTCAATCATTTTTATAATTTTTGTATGATTGTAAAGTTAATAAATAAATATTTGTGGGTACCAAGGAATAAATTGTCAATCAGACGAAAGGCACTACCATACAGTGGTGCAACACTTTACAATAGTTTGCCACTTGAGATAAGAAACTCTTCTTCGATAGCATCATTCAAAATAAGAACATATCAATACTTTTTAGAAACAGTTTAAACGTAGTCATATGTAATCTATTGTATATATATACCATGCATATATCTTTTTTTCCCCACGTTACCTAATATATTTGTTTGTTTGTAAATAGTCGTAGTTATAGAAGGCCCAGTGTAAGATTAGCCTTTGCTAAACTGGTTTTTGTAATACCTTCTTTAAATAAAGTCTATTATTATTAT